GGCACCGAGCCCGGTACGGCGGCGGAGGGCGGGCTGCCCTCGGCGGAGGGGGGCTGTGGCTGAGGAGAAGGGGCTGCTCTGCCAGGCTGACACTGTCCTTGAGGAGAAGGGACTTGGCCAGGATTCGTTCTGTGAGGAGAGGGGTCTTTCCTGAGGAGAAGGGATATTTCCCTGAGGAGAAGGGATATTTCCCTGAGGGAATGGTCTTCCTTGAGGAGAGGGGTCTTCCTTGAGAAGGGTTTTCCCTGAGGAGAAGGTCTCATCTCTTCTGCCAGGCTGACACTGTCCTTGAGGAGAGACTTGGCCAGGACTCGTTCCCTGAGGAGCAGGGTTTTTCCCTGTTAGGCCAATGCCCTCCCTGAGAGCCCTTCCCTGAGGAGATGGGACTTCCCTGGGGAAGGAGAAGGGTCTTCCCTGTCAGTCTGACAGTCCTGGAGGAGAAGGGAATTACCTCAGGACTCGTGCTCTGAGAAGAGGGGTCTGCCCTGAGGAGAAGGGTCTCCTCTGCCTGGCTGACACTGACTCTGAGGACAGGGGATTTCTCTGGGGCCCATTCCCTGCAGGTTAGGGGTGAATCTCTTCTCCCTGAGATTTCCCCTGGGCCAGTTCCCTGGGGAGAAGGGTCTTCCCTGCCAGTTTGAGGCCGTCCCCAAGGACAAGATCCCTCCCCAGGGTCCATTCCCTGAGGAGAGGGATCTTCCCTGCCCAGCTGCCTTCCTCCTTGAGGAAAACTGACTTTCCCTAGGCCCATCCCTTTAGGACAAGGGTTTTCCCTGCCAGGCTGATGCCGTGCCAGAGGGGAAGGGACCCCCACACTAGTGCTGACCCCCAGACCTTGAGGGGCAGACCCTCAGTCCCTGCAGAGAGGAGCTCCTCAGCCAGGCTGACGGGATTCCTGAGGAGAGGCACCTTCCCTGAAACACCTCAAACACTTGGGTTATGTCCCTTATCCCCACTCCTCTCCTCAAGGTGGCAACATCCTTGTTCATTCCTTCTCTCTCTCTGCCAGTGGAAGTGGCCACCAAGGCCAACCCGTGGGATGGGAAGACGCTGAAGCCGGAGAGCGTGCGCTCCCAGCTGGACACGTCCCTGGAGAGGCTGCAGAGGACGAGTGTGGAGCTCTTCTACCTCCATGCTCCCGACCACGGGACCCCGGTGGAGGACACCCTGCGTGCCTGCAATGAGCTGCACAAAGAGGTAAAGTGCAGAGTCCAAGCCTGGACAAACCTTGATTCTCTCCTTCCCACTGCTTTTTTTAAACCAGGGCTGCTTGTTGTGCCCATCTGCACAGCTCTGGGGAGAGGAGACAGAGCCCAGGTCAGAGCTGAGCAGTCGCTGCTCTTTGTGTGCTCACGTGGTGCACTTTGTACCCCAGAGCTCTTGGAACATCTGGACTTTGCTTCCAGCCCTCTTAACAGTCTGGGTTAAGATTGGTGCTGGTAATGGGTAAAGGATTCCTGAGTTTTGTTTATCTGGTTGTACCATTTAAACTAGAAGGTGTGAATTCCAAATAAACAGGAAATGGGGAATATTTTTGTCATGTCTTAATAATTCATAGTCTGGCAGAAATGGTGGACAGGAATTAACCCTTCTGGACTAAAATTTGGTGACTGTCCTTTTCACTGTACCCATCTTGTGCTCTCTGGGTCTAGATGAACTTCAAAACACTGGAATTCCCTTTTATTCCTCTGCAGGGGAAGTTTAAAGAGCTTGGCCTGTCAAACTACGCCTCGTGGGAGGTGGCAGAAATCTGCACCATCTGCAAGTACAACAACTGGGTGATGCCAACTGTGTACCAGGTGAGGGAAGGAGGGAAGCTTGCATTTGGGCTCCCTAAATCTGGGAGCAGCCCCAGTGTGCTAAGTATAAACCCAGAAGGAATCTGCTGCAGTTAGTCTGGGAAGTCACAGAGGCTGGAAAAGATCTGCAGTCCCAGCTGTGCCCAATGCCCACCTTGTCACCTTGTCACATCCAGGCCTTCCTTGGACACATCCAGGGATGGGGACTCCAAACCTCCCTGGGCTGCCCTTCCAAGGCCTGAGCACCGTTTCAGGAGGAAATTCAGGAAGCTGAGCGAGGTCTTTTCTCAGAAACAGCTCAGTGTGTTCATTGCTGGAGTCAGCGACTCCCCTGGCACGGAACCTGAAGTGTTTCAGCTCTCCAGCGAGTCTGTTCCTAAGCAAACCATAACCTTGTGCGATGTGAAGCCGCTCTCTCGGATGGGCATTGCCAGGGAAGGGTGGGAAAAGGCAGCTGCTGTGCCCTGAGCTCTGTTTGAGGCTGTCTCCCACCCCGTGCAGGGAATGTACAACGCGACCACGCGCCAGGTGGAGGCCGAGCTGTTCCCCTGCCTCAGGCACTTCGGGCTGCGCTTCTACGCCTACAACCCTCTGGCAGGTACAGGGGGCAAGGCCAGGCTTTGGGACAAAACCCTGTGGAATGGGGGCTGTGCAGAGCCAGCCCAGCCTCAATCCTGCTGCTCCCTTCCATCCCAGGGGGGCTGCTGACCGGCAAGTACAAGTACGAGGACAAAGACACGCGCCAGCCCACGGGGAGATTCTTTGGGAATGACTGGGCTCAGGCCTACAGGGACAGGTGAGTCCTGAGCTGACAGAAGAGCAGGAATGGCTGCATTAAAAAAAAACTGCTCTGATAGTCAGCTGAGAGGAAGCAGAATTGACCAAAGCTCAGGATTATGTCAGCACACGTGGCTGGGGCTGTGGTGTGTGACTGAGCACTGTAGGGTGGATTTTAGGCTCAGCTTCCTCATAACTCCCAAGGGAGATTGCAGAAGTCCTCAGAGGCTACGAAGAGACATACAAGGTTTCCTGAAAGCCTTTTGATGGGAATAGCACTGACTAGAGGTCCCAAGGGCAATAACAATGATTTATTTTCATGCAGGTACTGGAAAAAACACAATTTTGAGGGAATTGCACTGGTAGAAAAAGCTCTGAAAGAGGCTTATGGCCCCACAGCACCCAGCCTGGCATCTGCTGCACTGCGCTGGCTCTACAACCACTCCAAACTGCAGGTGAGAGCTTGACCTGGGCACTGCTGCTGTGCCAAACAGGGAAATTCCAGTGTAGGTGTCTTAATCCTGTGGGATCGTGGTGTTACAAGGTGAATATTGCTGAGCAGACTCTGCCAGGCAGCTCTGCCTTTCCCCGTGGTATCCCGTGTGGTCAGAGCTGGAGGCTTCAAGAGGAAGATTTTAGGAGTCATGATTCCCATGCACTCAACTTCCCTGCAGGGAGAGGACTCATCTTTCACTGGACCAGAAATTGAATGCTAAATGTTCCCCACCTCCCCTGAATGTTCCTGTAGCCCATCATAAAGTAGGACTTGGCAGCTTCTGAGGATTTGGTGTGACTTGGGGATGTCCTGGCCTAGCGAGCAGAATTTGTGGTGCCAGTTGCTGGATTCCTCATTCTTTAGTGGACAGAAAGGCCTCGTTTGGCCCACAGTGGCTTGGGAGGTGAACTCCCTTTTGGGATCAGCAACACTCTGTCTCTTCCCAGGGTTCTCTTGGAGATGCAGTGATCATTGGGATGTCCAACTTGGAGCAGCTGGAGCAGAACCTCAACTACAGCGAGGAGGGTCCCCTGCTGCCGGCCGTGGTGCAGGCGTTCGACGAGGCCTGGAACCTGAGCGCGCACGACTGCCCCAACTACTTCCGCTAGGGAAGGCTGGCACGGGCTCCAGAGACTCGGGAGAGAGGTGCCCACCCTGCCCTGCCACCCACGGCTGGAGGGCTGCAGGTTTGTCCTGAATCAGTGAAGCTTTGTAGGATCCACACCCGTGCCTTAGTCCTCCCTGCTGGCCCCTCGGCTCCCCCAGCACACCCCGTGATCACACCCCGTGATTCAGGATGCAGCTGATGAGGAAAATGAACACCTGAACCAGGTGAAGGCCCCTGTTCTGCTTTAATGTGAAATCTTAAATGATTACATGAGAGAATAAAACCTCTTCCTAGTGCAGACCCAATCTCTGACCTGTGCCTGGAACGGAGTTTGAATCACAGAATTTCAGGATGGTTTGGGTTGGGTGGTCCTTAAATCCATCTTGTTCCACCCCACAACTTCCACTATCCCAGATGCTCCCCATCCAGCCTGGCCTCAGACACTTCCCAGGATAAGGCAAAATTCCAAGGATTGAGTTAAATATCTTCTTCTGTGTCAGAATAACAAACCCTCAGCATCTTTCCCTTTGTGCTATATCAAAGCTCTATTACATTTATACCCTTTCTGCTGAGTTTTGATGTTTGAGCTGGCATTTCCTCAGATTCCAGGATACACCAACAGTAGCAGGCAGCAGCAACAACCATCTGAAGTTTCACACAGATATTTATATAAATATAAAAAAAAAAAACATAGCTCATTTTATATAAAGATCATCCCAGTCCAGGTGCACCCAGGGAAGGGAAATATCCTCTTTTTGTTCCTCAAATAGAACTGTCTGGTGTCCAAGCTGTTAGTCCTCATTGCTTCCACCATCATCACCATCATCATCATCATCTTCATCATCATCATCCTCCTCTGCTGTGTCTCCCACGAGCTTCTGGAAGTCTCCTGTCTCAGAATTCCACAGAAACTTCATGGTGACTTTAAACTCTGCCATCTCATAGCCAAAGAGTTTCTAGGAGAGGACACAAATCTGTCATTCCTGCTTCACTGTCTGTGCCCAGCCTGGCAGAACAGTAAACTCCACTTCCAGGTGGCAAGGGGAGCAAAGCAGGAGCCAAGACAATTGCTGCTGGGTTTTAGGAGTTGTGTTAATTAATTCCTGGTAGTTTTGTGTCAGGCAGCAGGACTGCTGTGTTACTCACCAGCACACGGGCCTGTTCCGGGGTGAGAACATCCCCTTCCTTGCACACTTCGTAATCCGAAAGCAGCGTCACCACTCCTGCAGAGCAGAACCCATGGAAATGGGATCCCAGGCACTGGGAACTCCCCTGGGATGTGGGGGACAGAGCCAGGACTCCCTCCAGTGCTGCTTTCATCAGTGCACCCCAAGGAGATGCAGCTCTAAAAGCCCACACCTGGTTCCTGAGAGGGTTAATCCGAGCTGTTTCCACAGCTGGATGGCACTGTGGGGAAATCTGGGCGTTTTACTCAGCCTTTGGCACAGGGAACAGCACAAGGACACAAGGAGTTCCAGCCCCAGCCCAACAAGGAGAAAAGTCGTCCCTCAGGTTTTCTCCAGACCTAAATCCTGCTCTGTGTTTCACATTCTCCAAAAGAGAAACCCTGGAGTTTCTGCTGTACCTTTCTTGAGCGCCGTGGGCAGCCCCAGCTGCCGCAGCTGCGGCTCCATGGAGTGGGGGAACTGCTCCAGGGGCCCCGTGTCCAGGCTCACCCCGTACGGCGCCTTGTTCCCAGCACGGGCAAAGTCCAGCTCCCGGAACCTGGAGAACCACCTGGCACAGAGATGGGCAACAGGAGCTTCAGCTGGGGGAGGAACTGAGACAGGGCCTGGGGCACGGCCTGCCCGGGGAGCTGGTGGTTAACTCAGGTTGTGGCTGCCCCTGGATCCCTGGGAGCGTCCAAGGGGGTGGGATGAGCTGGAAGGTCCCTCCCAAGCCAAACCCTTCCATGATTCCACCCTGCTGTTGCAGGAATGGCTGACAAAGAGTGGGAAAAGCCCACAAGACCATCCCTGCTTTAAGGGGAGTGCTGGGGTTTTGTGGCAACAAAAGCAGAGTGGTACTTACTCATCCACCTCATCCCTGGTGCGGTTGGTGAAGAGCAGCCCGACCTCCCCTCTCAGGTGTTTGCTGACCTGGAAGAAAGGAGCATCCACAGGGATTGGGGAGCAGCAGGAACCCAGCTGCAGGGGCTGAGTCCTGCACAGATCCACTCACAACACCCCCTTCACGGCAGGACAGGGATGGGCTCCGTTAAAAGCCCCACAGAGTGAATCCCGGATGTTATTCCAGGATGTGGAACACGCCAGGTGAAGCTTTAGCACAGGTACCTTGTGCAGGTTCTCCTTGTACTCGCTGCTCGGCTCCCGGCCCAGCGCCACCATCATCACCTTGTTCTTCCCGAAGAAGATCCTGCCCAGGAGCAGGAGGAGGAGGAAGAGGAGGAGGAGGAAGAGGAGGAGGATGTCAGCCCTGCAGCTCACCCCCTCGGGCATCCCCCACCCCGCACCA